ATCATTTGTGCATTTGATTATTTTTCTAAGGTAATAACTAGAAATGCAATTATGAAGGAGAGGAATACTCATTAGAAGGCTTTGGTTAGGCATGAACAAACAGAAAGGATTTCTCTCTTTCTCTTTATGTGGGACACTGACCGGAAGCATCCCAGAACACCTACCCCCATTCTTCTCAGCACCTAGTAGGCTCTGCTTTTGCCTTTTGGATCTGTTTGGGTTTTAAAATGTCCTTTCCTTTGGAACGAAATTTGTTGGAATAAATGCCTGTCTGAAAAGGTTCTGAGTGGAGAAAAGAACGTTTGCAGGGTGACTTGCCTCCCTCCAGGGGTGTGTGGGAGAGATGGGGGGGGCCAGACCCAAGGAGGGATGTCAGTGGTTCCAGAATCGATCAATCAATCAGTCATTATAATGCAGAGAGATGAGGACACTTGCCTTGTCTTGGCTCTGTGCACTCCTGGCTGAGCCTCCCTGAGTTCCTCCAACTTCCCACTGAGGATCTGGGGTTGCCAGTTTGCCTTGTGGGCCACCCACAGTCTGAGACAATCTGTGACCTCAGAATGAGCAATGTGGAGAGAAGCTGTGTCGCATCACAGCAGAGCTGGGCCCTGCCAGTCTCCTGCTGGAGTGGAGTTCAGCAAAGGTGGCTGGAACCCTCCCCTGGAGCCTGGCACACCCCATGGCAGGTGAGCCTTGCCAGCCCGGACATGAGCGAGGACCCACTGAATATGTAGACAGGAGATTTTGGTCAGGGTCATGTGACGAGTAGGCCCAGGTTTTCTTTCTCCCTCTTTGTTGCTTTTAATACATAAAATGAGCAAGTGTTTATTTAAAGCGGCTTTCAAATTTAAACAAATAGTGACAGGCTGTTCAAACAGACTTCGGAAATCGCCCTCATCAGGATGTTTGAAAAAGCAAGAAGATCCCCTCTGGAAGAGGTTGTTCAGATGTTCAGTCCTGAACACACGGGGCTTTCTTTGCACGTTTGGATCACAGAAAGGCAGAGCTTAGGGACTAGATTCAGTCTCTGGGGCTTCTGTGAATGAACATCACCTCTAGTCTACAACCTGACTAATTTATAAAGCCCTGAAGGGCATTTTATTGTTACTTCCTATCTTCAGCTGGGACATGGAACATATACCTTTGATGTCTCATTTCTATAGGAATTACCCCCCCACACACACACAAACACACACATACCATCTTCACAAGTGGAGATAACTCCTTTGAGGGAATTGAGGAATCACTATTGTAGGGGGGATAGATGAGGCTCAGCCTTGTAAGGGGAAGGGCAAGGGAGCAGGTGTAAAGCTGATCTGCCCAGGAGGCTGAGGGAACAAGCCATTAGGACCTCACTCATTCATTCCCCTTTTGGACCAGGCCAACAGATGGCTTCAGATGACTTATGTTAATCGTTGCCACCTCTAATTGTATGGGGAAGTAAATACGACCCATATCTGGGCCTGGGGACTTTGCTCAAGGCTATAAACTCATAAACTACCAGAGCTGAGGGCTCACCCAGACTCCTCTGTGGTCAGTGTCTTTCTTGGGCCCCTGGGGCTGCAGTAGTACCTGGTGCCCCCTTTTTGGGTCAAGAGAGGCTGGTGTTATTTTCTTCATAAGAGAGGCTGGTCATACTGCTCATGGGAAATGGCTCATGGAATCTACTAGAAGCTCTGTTGTTGGTGTACGGGAATGAGGCAGCGAGAGGGAATTCTCCAGCTCCGCAGAGGCAGGGATGTTTGGAAAGGTTTCCTTTCATACTATACTGGAGAGCAGGCGAACCGGGAGTCTATCCCCGCCCCTGTACCTTCTACTTCCCCACCGTGGCTCCCCGACCAGGGAGTTCATTGGGAGGTTGTCAGGGACTCCATTTTAAAGTTTGCCCCAGTGAACTCCTTTGGTGACTAAAGGGATTCAGGGCCCAGCCTTGACCCTCTGGAAGCCAGTCCTAATTGCAGACAGCCCAGTGGCAGTGCTCTGAAGAGCGTGGGTATCGTTGGCTGAGCTAGTGAGCCGGCTGGGTGTCTGCATCTGCCTCTCCCCTGCAAAGAGAAATGCAGAGCAGAAGACTCCTAGAAGTCTGCAGTTGGGTCTGTGACCCTGGGAGACCGGTGAGGAGGCAGACTCTCCTACAAGCCAGTGCTAGGCTTGAACTCAGCTTGAGGCTAGTGGTCCACCCCTTGAGCCTCAGCTCCTTTTCCAGCTTTTTGGAGGTTAATTGGAGCTATGAATCTCACAGACTTTGCTACCCAGGCTGGCTTGGAACCATGTTCCTCATATCTCAGCCTTCTGAATAGCGAGGATTACAGGTGTGAGCCACTGACTGGTTCCCCACTAGATGCTTTTAACAAGTTATTTGACAATGAAGAAGAAATCCTTTGCGCCCTCTTCTGGTAAAAGTTAATCTAGGCCTGGCAGGACTAGCACCCACTAGGTGACTAGTTGCTCGTCTGGGCCAGTAAATCAGCCCAGTGTGGATGTGAGCAGACTGCTGACACACAGAGCAATCATTTGTTCTTCTGTAGTCCACAATCGTGGCCCTTAGAGTACAAAGGACTGGAAGATTCCTCGTGTATTGTAGAACACTGGTCAGCATCACTGGCCTCTACCACTAGATAGACACAGGAACAACTCCTCCTCCCCTGCCCAAGTCATGAGGACCAATGTTTCTGCACACTGTCAAATATCCCTGGAGAAGGAGAGCACCCTCTGTGAAAGCTGCTGCTGAAGAGTCTTACCTGCTTTGTAAAGTTCGGCATCAGCTAGACACAAGGCCTTTCGGATAATGGGGTTCAATGTCCATTAATGGTCAACTGAGTTCCAGGAGTTTATTTTAAAAATCAGTAGAACAAATCAACAATTTATATGTAAAGAAATATCATAGTAGTGTTTATAATAGCTAGGCTTGAGACACCCTAAAGAAGACACTTGTTAAAGTATAAATATATAAAAATGTATATATGAATGACATCAGACTATACACTCATGAAAAATAACTGAATGTTAGAAGTTCTCCTAATAATTCCTACATCTCACTCTAAGACCATTTCTAGAGACCCAAAGGTTGTTACATCTAGAGAGAATAATTTCAGAGAGATTGATATGCATTCAGGTGAAATGTTAGACCAAATTCAAACCAGTGACAATTCAGAAAGCATTAATCAAACACTGGCTAATCCGCTATAATATATCCATGCCAGACCAAGAGACAAACACACACACCTGGCCCCTCTACTGTAATACAAGTCCAGAGAGACAAAAGTACTGAGTGTGGTTAACAACCTACTCTCCACAGCACCACGGCAGTGCCCTAAGTCTGGGTACATTACTATTTCCTGAATTAAACTGAGTTTTGTGTTTTGTTTTTGTTTTTTGCTGGTCATGGGGCCTGAACTCTGGGCCTGGCACTGTTCCTCAGCTCTTCAGCTCAAGGCTAGCGCTCTACCACTTGCCACAGCGCCACTTCTGGCTTTTTTCTGCTTTTGTAGTGCTGAGGAATCAAACCCAGGGCCTCATGCATGCGAGGCAAGCACTCTACCACTGAGCCACCTTCCCAGCCCTAAACTGAGTATTTTGATTCATGCTTTCTGGGAATAAGCTGGGAGTAGCTATCTTGTTTCTCTCTTCAGATGTGAGTAAGTCACATCAAGTGAAAGGAATTTAGGTACTGATTTATGTAGCCCAATACTCTTTCAGAGAATTGTGCAAATACTCATTGGGTCCAAACAAAGAGCGTATTTCCCGCAGCATCTAGGAAACGAACGTTTAATGATGTGTTCATCTGAGTCAAGCCAGACAGGGAGCTTTGCTACAGAGCACGGTGCACCCAGTCGCACCTGATATGCTGCAGCGCTCGACCGAGGCCTCATCTTCTCTCAAAGGCCTAGTGCACGCAGTGGCGTGGCACCTGCCCCGTGCGCTGCAGGTCTCACGACCTGAGTTTCAGGCCAGTTGAGCTCAGCCAGACTTCCCACAGGAAAGCTGTGAGAGGCCGACAGAGCCCTGTTGTGCATTGCAGAGGCCCAGACCTCATATAGGTCAGGCTAAGCCCCTCCCAGAACTGCTTCCGCTAAGCATGGGCACCCACCGGGTGCAGAACTGCTCTGAATTGGGGTTCAAATCCTGCCTTTGCCATTTGTTATGTATATCTCTTCATCTCTGTGAAGCTCAGAGGTTTCAACTGCCATTGTCAACAATAACACCATAATGCATTCTACAGAACTTCTTACCTATTTGTTTGTTTTGGTAGTACGAGGGTTTGAACTCAGAACCCTACCTGCTTGAGTCAGCTCAATAATGCAGCCCCAGCTCCAGCTCTCATTTCTAAATGAAACGAAATATTTCCTAGCAGTGAACTCAGTTGACTGTTCATCAGAAGGGAGTCTTCAATCCTTTTGCTAATCTGCCCTTCCTCTTTCGCAGCTGCCCTGTGATGGACAATGCCTTTTGCAACAAGCAAGCCAGTTGCTTGTTTGTGTCCATATTCAGAACAAGTTAAATGACTTTGTACAATTACTGTGCAGAATAAGTAAAATAATACTTTGGGCATCTTGGTGTTGTGCTGGGCCTATAGCAAGCACTCAACAAAGAAGCATGCTAGGTGTTGTCTTTGCTGTGTTTTACTATTTCTAATGAGTGGCCATGCTAGGTAAAATTGCAAAATGTCCATTATTTTCCAGTGACCTTTGCTGTTTCACATTTCTTCTGAGCACTTACCTCTCTGATCCCTTACTCCTGGTCTTCATTTTATGGGACTCTGCCCACCTCTACTAGGTTTTAAACTGTTTCATGTCCTGCCTTAGCTCTAAAGTGCCTGGCATGGAAATGGCTTTCCAGTGAATAGTCCCTGAATGAACGCAAAGCATGAACCCTGAATCACTGTCTCGGAGAGCCTGCTGCCTTTCCTGTCTGGCTCCTGAGCGTCCCAGGTGTCAGGCTGGGTCTGTCCCCAGCTCCCTCTCCTCTCTAACACGCGTTCTTTTGCTCTCCCGCTGCAGGACGCCTTTGTGGAGCTGTACGGCCCTAGCGTCCGACCCTTGTTTGACTTCTCCTGGCTGTCTCCGAAGACTCTGCTCAGCTTGGCCCTGGTGGGGGCCTGCATCACCCTGGGTGCCTACCTGGGGCACAAGTGACGTCCCGGGCCTTCCCCCAAACCAATATGCAAAAGGTTCACTAGAGCAGTAGAAATAGTATGCAGCGTCAGTGACGCACCGAGAAATGCAGTTGTGGTCTCTTTAGAAAGAAAGCAAAACACAACACACACACACACACACAGAGCTTTCAGGCAAAACGTTGAATCAGCTATTTACTGCCAAAGGGAAATAACATTTATTTTTTACATTACTAAGAAGAAAAAGGTTTATTTATTTAAGACAATCCCATTGCAGCTCCCGTTTTCTTGGAAACCCTATCACTAGCTGCCAGGCCGGCGTGTGCGCCTCCCCCTGTGGCGCGGCCGTGCCCGGAGCGCAGACGCACCTGCTATCGGAAGAGCCTGTGCGGAAGCCCAGCCGAGGCCCCTCCGGGATGGCAGAGGCGAGGCCGGGGAGAAGGTGTTCTTCTCCCGGTTGCAGTCACCGGCCCTGGCGCTGAGCCGTGGCAGGCAGGGTTCTCAGAGGGGCGGCCATTCTTCCCTGAAGAACGGGCACTTGACCGTAGGATGCACACGGTACTCACCCCATGAACGGACTCACCCCGGGAACTTCTTCAGACGGACGTGGTACCCGCTGAGACTTCCCCATCGAAGGACAGGGAAGGGAAACAAACAAGAAAAAAAAAAAGGCCCTTAAACCATAGGAAAGTATTTTTTTAAGCTACCAATTGTGCCCAGAAGCATTTTAGCAGTTTGTATACGCTATCATCCAGTACCTTAACCCCTGATTGTGTATAGTCCTATATTTTGCATATGTCCCCCGTCCCCTCCAATACTTGCTCTGTGTGAGTAGGAAACAGAATCCTCGGGATTGGAGGAGTTGGGGTGTTTTGGTGACTTCTTCGCCATCAGGAAGACTGGAGTCACCCAGACCATCAGGCGGCCACAAGTGCCTGCGTTCAGGAGACTCACATCTGCAGATGCGGCCTCCGGGGAGAGCTTCAAACAGAGCAGTGTGGTCTCCAAATGGCTGGAAGCTGAGCGAGCTCAGAGTTTCCACTGTCAAGAAAGAGCAATAGGGGGTGTGGAGCCCCCCAGATGGGCCTGCTCACACAGGGAGTGCGGCTGCGTGGAACACAAGTCTTCTGAAGACACGCGTCACTGGAGGGAGGGAAGCGGGCTCCATGCCTCTCCTTTCCCAGCAGAGGGACGTGAGGTGTAAGGGGAGGAAACGGCCCAAGCCCTTTAGGCCTCTGTGCATGCGTGTTGGCGGCCCTCAGCCTGTCTTGTGGCTCAGGGAAGGCTTCGGATGACCTTGAGAGGGTTGGTCACCTGTCCTAAAGGAAGCGTTGAAATGAAGTGTCATGGATTAAATGACCTATGTCTATGGAATTACATGGGAAACATTGTCTTGTCATTGTAGTTGGTTTTGTTTGAAAACCTGATAGAGGAAGAGAGGGGGGAAAAAAGTAGTCCTAGGTGTGGAGTGTGGGGATTAGATGTTCAACCTGGGGCATTAAAAAAAAAAGGTAATAATAATAATAATAATGGTGGAAAGTTGTAGAGAAGTAGCAAAAGACGTGAAAGCTCTGGCTAATAAATGAGAAAAAAAGATTTTGAGTTTAGAACCATCCTGGAGACATTTGTGGAAGAACTTTGTGGCATTATCACATTATATACCATTTATCTGTATTAACTTGGGAATGTACTATGTTTGATGTTTAATGCTGTGGTTGATATTTCAAAAGCTGCTTTAAAAAATACATGCATCTCAGCAGTTTTTTTAAAAGTATATTTAGTTATAGCCTCTACCCTATTTGTTAGAGAAAAATATGTTAATTTTCCATCAGAGATATTTGTGTCTTTGATACTTCAGAAGCATTTTTTTTGAGGCGGGATCAGCCCTGAGTCTCAGCAACCTGAGCAACCTCACTTTCTCCCCCACTGAAGCTCTGTCTGAACCAGTGCAGCCCTCCGTGTGTGCACTTCTGGATCCACAGGACTACTCATTGTCACGTATCTATTGTTCCTTTGACCTTGTTTCTTGACAGTTTACTTGTCCCCAGGCAATTCAGCATTTTAACTCATGTTTCCTAGGATGACATGCATGTCTGGCTCAACCCATGGGGTTCATTCAGTTGGAAGTCCAGATGGGAAAGAGCCAAAGGACAAAAATCTGGCCATCACGGTGGGCCCTGCCAGGAGTTGCTTTGGTGTGGCTTATTTCAACAGATGCATCCAGAGCCCTCCTTCCGCAGTGCCCTTCCCAGCGGCCTTCTTTCCCAGCCCTTCCTGGAATTCGAGGGGTTCCCTGAGAAAGCCGAAAACCCACCTCGGAGTGGCACAGGCTCCGGCGGGGCTCAGGGAAAACAATGGCCAGACCTTTTGAATGATCCTGCTTTTTGTAAGCAAATTCTTATTTTCTGAAAGGTTTACATGCTCAACATGGTGAATAGAGGATTTCAAACCTTGTGCTGCTATCCTGCATGGATCATGTTCCTGGCGTCGGGTTGCAGTACATGGCGCAGAGGCCGGATCTGCCAAGCTGCTTTCAGAGTAACGTGAAGAACACGGACTTCGGTTTTGTTTTGTTTTTTAACTATAAAGCTCATTTTGTCTTTTGTTGTTGTTGTTGTTGTTCAAACTGGGATATGCAGAGTATTTGAAAATGTATATATATTAAAAGTCATGGGGCCTAACTTCTGGCTGGTTTCCTTTGGGAGTTTTGTTGTCTGATTTTAAGGGTAGTTGCACCCAGCCACCCAACCCCAGGACGGAACAGTATTGTGGCTCTAAGAGTAGTGGATGTTGCATCTTTCTTCTTGTTAAACATGTTAGAAGCAATGAATGTATATATATATAAAAGTCTCCACTAGTCCATTTTTTTTCCTTCTCTTTTTGGTTTTGTCTCAACCCTTTTGCAGTCGGGCAACAGAGAACCATCCCGGAGAATGTCATATTGAGCAGGGACTCACACCTGATTGTCAGTTCTTCTTAATACTTTGAATCTTCTCCATGTTGGCTGAGGTCGGAAGAGAACAGAACACACATGCTCCTCCCAGATGGGATCCAGCGCTGTTCATGGAGCGCTCAAGAAGAACTGCGTTCCACGACTTCCCTGTGCCCTGGAAGCTTCACTGCCTGGGCAGCCCAAAGGAGGAAAGGAAACAGCCCCCCCCCCCAGCGAATCTGCAAGAGCTCACAATGTCTGTAGGTTTAAGCTTTGGATTAAGATTACATTTTGAATTAAGGACATGCCTCAAAAACACAATGTGGTGGTCTCAGGTCACTTGTCTCTGCTGATGGTAAATGTCTATTGCTTATACCTGACGTGGGGGTGGGGGCAGGGCTGGGGGGGGCATGCTTGTACATCCAAGAACCATTATAAATCTGATAGTGATAATCAGAATTAAATGTACACTATTGGGGGGGTCCCAGTACATCTCCAGCGCTCACATAAGAACCTATTAAATGGACAGAACTGCACACAGTCTTTATTTGTCATTAAACTAAAACAATTCATAAATGTGAGCTTCAAGTCTAAGTCCAATTGTACTCTGAGGGCAGTAGCTGTTTTTATACTTTCTTATCACTTATAGTTAGAAACGTATACCTACTCTATCAGAAAAGAAAAAAAAACACAGGAAAGGGCTTGAAATATAAACCAGCCTAAGGAAATTAAGGAGTCAGTGGAAATTCCATTCTGATCTTATTCTGTGGTGTCTGTTGCAGCCCAAACAGATGTGGTTACACACTTGAAGAAATACAATTCCACATTGTCAGGCTTATGAATGTTCCAATCAGATCCGTATTGTAACTCAGTTTGAATCTCTCAAGGATATTTTTTTAGAATTATTATTACTATGAGACAAAGGATAGTTGTGAAGGTAGGAGGGAGAAGAAAATGAGCAAAATAGTCTCAAGATTGGGCCAAGGAGGGGAGGTTTTCAGAAAGCCCAGGACTCTGGGAGTTGAGAACTTTCTATTGAGTCAACATGATGTCTTCATGAAGGCCCCTAAGCATCAAGTGAAAATCATTTTTCATTTCTGTGGTGCATTAGGATTCCAGAGCTATTGGCCCAGTTCAAAGACGAGCTTAGTAGGAACAGGCAATATTATGTTTCCGCTGGCGATGTCCTAATGGATATTAACAATAAACTTGCCATTTTAACCAAAAGGCTATTTAATGACCATCTTCTAGTTGGTAGGAACATCTGTTTCTAAATGTCTATTATCCACACACAAAAAGTTTAAATTAAATTAAACATTGTGAAGTGGTATTGGGTAAATGATCATAGGAATCCCTTGGCCTTACCCAACAAATCATTCCATCCTACCGTCTTTGGACAACCATGAAATCTGCGTCTCACTGGGCACAAAGAAAACCAGATGGAGTATGAATGGTACCACACCAATTCATCATGAATTGGTGCCCTAGAAAAACACACTATTCTTTTTCATGTACCAAAACTAAGTACAGAAGATAAAAAGCACGTCTGGAAGGTGGGAAGGCCAGCTTACCAGAAGTGCTGGTTCTGTTACCCATCGTGAGAGCCACGGCTCTGCTCAGCAATGCCACACATCCCGTCTTCATTTTGGAAATCTGCAGTGGGCCCAGCAGCTAGCTCATTTCATTAAATTTCTCCCCCCAGGGTAGCGTCGAAAGGATTGACGGCTGATTAAATTTGGGGAAGGGGGAACTTTCCTATGGAAGTTGTGGGTTTTCTTTTTCTAATACTATCAAGTTTCCACCAATTTTTGTTCTTGTTTGGAATTACTGGAGGTATTTTTCTTTTAAATAAATAAGTGTACAATAAATATTTTGTATTGAAAGCTTTGGTCATCAAGATTTTCATAATTTTACCTTCCACAGGCTGCTTTTAAGATTGATGCTTTTTATAGGGGTGGCTGATATCCACAACACTGTACATACAAAAAGATTATATATATATATATATGCTAAGCATACTTTACATAGTTAAGTAAAGTGAGTCTTCAGTTAGCAACCATTAAACATAATGGCACTTTGTTTGTGTTGTTGGAAAATGTCACGTTGCCATTAACCTTTCCTTGTCTATCCAGTTAATTTTGTGAAGAAAAATAAAGTACAGTGTGAGATATCAATTGTGCCCTGGAATTGTTTGTAACATGCTCCCATGATTTTTCATCATTTAACAAGATTTTGGAAAGCCCTCTAAACAGTCAGTAGAACCCTCCAGAACCCCATTCTAACAAAGCCCTTGGAGACCGCCAGAGGGATTGGCTTAGTGGTGAGCCTGCTCTAGAAGGAGCTCCCTTTTGTTTCTTGGTCACTCGTCACCGGGTTAGGTTTAGGACGGACAGGCTGGGCTTGAGGTCTATTCCTTGAGATACAGCTACTGTTGCTGTTTGGTGGGTTCTTCCATAGAACCTGATGTCCTTGCTTCTCTATTCCTAAGACAAAGGGTTGGAAAGAAAGGAGGGGAGCAAGCTGAAGGCTCCATCTTAAAGTTAGCAATATAAGATGACCAAACCAACCACTTGCTTGGGAGCATGAAAGTGCTGTTGCAAGGAAGTCCAAGGTTCGCCATATTTGGGTCTTGATGTCCTAAACTACATTCATCCAAGGCTACTGCCTTTGATTTGGTTTAAAAGACTCTGATCATGACATCTGCTTGTTCATGGTTTGCTGGATAGAACCCGGAGTGCATACTACCAACCTGGAAGGTAGGTATTGGTCTCTCCTCCAGGATAAAACAGAGACACAGAAGTGCATCAACATGCTCGACTCCATGACTCCATGGCCCCTGGCACCATAATTTCTTCTCTTCCAGTTGTGGTCTCCCAACTACTGAATGAAAACCCAGGGAGGATCCCCATTTCCAAGGGACCCCAGCTATGGGCAGTATTCAGGATGAAGGTACTCAAACTTCCCAGCCCTTCCTAATCCCTTGAAAGTCTGTTGGGGAAAAACAGGAGCATTCTATCAGGAATCCTAATTACTTCATGGGATGGGTTATAAACTACATTGGACAAAACAAATTCTGCCACAGACAGTTTGAGGATAAGTTACTTTGACAGACTATTAACAATGAATTGGGAATTACGTTCTTGGCAGCTCTTTACATTTAAAGTTCAAAACTTGAACAAAAGTGTGCAGAGGTGGTATCTGCCTCAAACTTTATAGGTGACACACTGGCCAACTGCTTGGAAGGCTCCTTCTCTAGAAGTCCCTCTCCATCTAGCCTCTCTTGATTAGAAGCTCAGGCAGGCATGCAGGGGCGGATGCAGATAAAGAGTCTGCCTGTGCTGAAGTTTGGACCAGGTTCTTGCATAACGACAATTGTCAGCATCACCCATTCTAGGAACAAGAAAGTGAAGAGTCAGCGTCACTAAGACTCATTTAGCTGCACAGAGTCAAAAGAAAAATGTTGTCGAAAATACTGTCCAAAAAACTCTCGGAGGGAACCCCTTGAAACGTTTACTCTCAAAATACCATGGGGAGCAGAAGAAATCTGTATTTTAGGAGTTGAAACCAGCAATGACATATTTACAGGACTCTTTAAAGCTTAAGATCATTCTAGTACTAAGATTCTCTATTGTTTTCCCTTCATTTCATTCTTTCTTTGTCTCAGTATTTCATTTATTTAGCAGAAGTCGGAAAGCCATTTTGTCCTAGGCAGAAATAGGCAGGTACATTTTTAGACTTGTTTAGCACAAGGTCATGGAACATTCCAGGTTAAAGTCATGGACAGAAATGCCTTGAAGCCTGCTTTGCTTCTTGTCACAGGTCTTCGCTAACAATAAAAATATATAAATAAATAATAATAAGTGCAGGACTCCTTGAAGATGTGTTCCTATGGGAATTTGCCACTAAAAGTGCCTGCTTCACTTGGTGTCAGATGCAAGTGACACTTCCAAGTACCTCCCATCCAATCAGTGAGCAGGAAACCCAGCCTTTCTCCCTGTGGTACACCACCTAGAACCCGAGGCATGTAAGTCAAGACTTCTGACAGCCAAGGATAACAGCAGCCGCCCCAGGGTGTCAGATCCTCCACCGTGAAGACGGGAAATGCCTCCTGCTGGGCTTTGCTCCCTCAGACTCACTGTCCTGCCTGTCACCAGCCCTTCATCACCCTGCTTGTCTATTTGGATAATCTTGATTTTCAACACCCCTTTACCTTCTGAGACTTGCTTCTGATTTCAGTTTTTTTGTCTCTCTTTCCAAGTTTGTGTCATAAACCGACTTGATAGGAGAGGCTGCTACAACTGTCCCCCTGTCTTTGGTAACATTAGAAAATGGGTCATATCCTTAATACCTCTCCATTGAAGGTAGAATATGATTTTTCCTTTTCTTTACTGCATGGCTTGTTATGACGGAAGTTGAGATTTCTCTCTTTTTATACTTTCTGTAAGTACTACTCTATGCCTCGTTGTATCTGGCTGCAAATGCATTCTAAACTTTCGTTACTTGGCATGTTAAAAAGAGACCACAACAGCTCATTGCCCATCTCACCCTGCCTCCATCTGTCTGTCTGTGTCCTGAGTATACCTACGCCATCCTTCATGCATGCTCCTTAAATAGCTAAGCCTGCCCCTCCCGCTTCATGAAAAGCATACCCAAAGCAATCGGTCTTCTCTCTCCTCTCACCTACTAATACTGGACTTTAATTACAGACTCCTTTCAGGCTGCTCTACAGATCCCCAAACAAGAATTCAAAGGGTGGCTGTCAGAAACTCTGAAGTTCTTAAGTTTTCCCTACTTTCAAGCTGGTGAGTCTCTCTGCCCAGTATCCACAGACACTGGCTGAACACCGAAGACACTTGAGTCAGAGCCAAAGGACCGCTTAGTACCCATAGTGATTGTAATTGCTAGACTTACTTGCCTTTGTAAGTGGGATCTCCATTTCTCAATTCCCAGCAGGCTGTAGGAAGAAACCTAGAGGACACCTGCAGACACAAAGGGTTAACATCGCAACAGGAACTCTGTGAAGTTATTATTCCTGCCTTCCAAGGCTGCTTACTGTAAAAGCATTCCTGAATAGTCTGGAACAGAGAACTATCAAGTCTGCGCACAGTAGGAACAGGAAAGTGAGAGGTCCAAGACAATTCTGGCTTCATCATGCCATGACAATTTTGTCCACCAAGTGTGAAGACAGCAAAATACAGCCCTGCGGGCTCTGCTGAGGGCTCTGCTGCCTAAAAGTCTAACGTCCCACCCGCCATCGCAGCTCTACCTTGGCCTAGCTCCTCTCTTTAGACACATTCTATGTATCAACGTCTCTGAAACCAAATATGGTTTCATCTTCTTAAGACACACCAGAGCGGCCTCCACGCAGCCGAGGCCGAGCCAGCCCTGCGATCTCTCCTCTACGCTTGCTGTCTGCTGGCACCTAGGCATTCAGTAACAGCTCAACTGCGACCAGCTGTGGATCCACACAAACAATGGGTTTGTTTGTAATCCACTCCCAAGACTAGACCCTTTCTTAGTTACCCTTTTCTATTCTTTCCGACATTTTCCAGACTGAACATCGAAGGCACACCAGCTCACACTCGATGCTTGTTTTGTGGGTTGGTGTGTGGATGTAATTGTTTTTCTAAAGGCAAGTGTGGGCTCACCTCTAGGCATTAAGAGTTACTGAGACCCAATTCTTCGGTGTAGGAAGCTTCATGGAAGTGTCTTGGCTGGTTTTGTATTTGTATTTGTTGTTGAAATTTAGCTCAAACTATTTAGTGAGCTCAGTGCATTCAGGGTGGTCTTGGCAGGTCCGTCACTCAATGGTGTCCTTCAAGATGGGCTGTGTGGGTCCCTGTGTCCAGGGGTAACTTAGAACCTATTCCCCTTAGCCGGGCCTTGAACCTGAATGTCTGGAACAATCAGTCGGCTGCCATGTCCTTGGGGATGTTTTTCTCTGCCTTCTTTGTCTGCCTTCCACAGGCTGTGGGCCTTCCATCTACGAATCTCACCAGATTCTCAGTAGACTAGAACAGAGTCGATGCTGTAGACTGTAGACGTCCAGCTGAGCAGCAAGGGGGCCTCCAGTGTCCTTTGATCTTCTCTCCCAAGATGACCATCATGTCATGTATCCATGTGAAACCTCTCAGCTGGATAACAAAGGGGGAGGGAAGGAATAAAATATTTATAGGAGAATTATTTCTCACAAGCAAGCATTTGTTCTCAAAGCTTTTAGAAGTATAATTTTCTCCTTCTTGGGTTTTTCTGGTTTTAATATGAAACACTTTAAAGTCCCGGGGTTTGATTTCCAGGAAGCAATCATCTATGTTGCCTTGGGTGGAGTTTAGAAAAGAAACTAGGTTTCAGAAGTGAAAATGTTTCCATTGAAATTGCCACATGGAGCTCTGGGGTTCTTCAGTGTTCTTGCATAATAAGGGTCCCCTTCCCAGAGCAGGCGCCGGGGCCTCGGGCTTCCCTGCTTCAGCTCTTCCCGCAAGACGTCTGCTCTAGCGCAGCCCCAGCGGGGACAGCTGGCCGTCAGTCCCACCTTCCCAGTGCCTGTGGTATCCTTAAGCGAGCGTGTCTGGGCTGGCCAGCGCTTCCCAGCAGAAATGATTAGGAGCCACACGTGTGGGTTTTTAATCTTCTAGCAACCACATTAAAAAAATTCAGAACGACCCCCTGATACGATGCTTCACGATGTATTTTGGGATCTGATCCGTCACGCCCACACAAAGTAAATCTAAAAAGTACTGAAACAGCTTACATTCCTTGCTCGTGTCTATGAATTTGTGGGGAACTGACCTGGGTCTCACATCTCGGCTCAAATGAGCCACATTTGAGTGCTCCGTGGTCGAGTGGCTAGTATGTTAGAGAGTGCAATGCGGGCTGTGGGTGTAGACAGCTTACAGGTTTACAGCTCACATGGACAAACGTGACCCCAACACGCCTCTCTCTCAAGCCCTCTACCCCAGTGCTGGTGAATTAAGTGGCTAAGGCCAGAAAACATCTTTCTAACTCCCTCCCCACAGCTTCAAGCTCTTCTGCAAGCTTCCCTACAGAAGTTCCCCAAAGTTTATCAGAAACAGTTCTTACTTTTCTCTTCTTTTTTCTTCTTTTTATGTTGGGCTGGTCCTGGGACCTAAACTCATGGCCTGAGCACCGCTCCTTACAAGGCTTTTGTGCTCAA